AGGCATTTTTCAACCTATCATGGACTTTACTAGCCGCAACTATTCCCATGACCATTAAAAAATTGCATCCAATTATGGCATCAGGCTTTCAAAGTCCAGGATCTTGTGATTCAAGTCAGGACCGGATGTGGTACCTATTAATTTAGAGAGTTAGTAACAAAAAAAAAAGTCACCTGACCCCATCCCCAATAAACAATGGTGACCCAGGACAGGATAATTGCAATATATCTTCTTATTCAAAGAGGGGAAGAATGGGAAGCACACAGGAATCACTGGCAGGTCCAAAAACTTTCTGAATTCTTACCAAGTAGGGCTGGTCCTTGCTTAGGGTCTGGATTTAGGGATACTGGATTTTAGAGTATTTCAGAATTTGTGTTTTTAGATTAGAGATGTCCAACCTGTGTATCAAAATCAATTTTTCCTAGAATGTTTGTTAATGCATATTCTATATAAAGTATATGATATTTGAAACTGTACACATTTCTTAAAATGTTACTAACAGCAATTGAAAATGAATACTGCATTTTGCAATATGTTATCTACCTTCAATGTAGATAAAATAAAAAGCTAGGTCGAAACACAGTGCACCAGCCCTTCACAAAACGAACTCTCACCAGCATTTATGTAGCACTAACTCTTAATATAGGCCACTCAGTACATATATTCTTTTTTTTTTTTTTCTGGCTATATAGCTAGTTTAAATTTTTTTTTCCCCACCATAGACAAGAAAGAGGCAATGAGGTTAGGAGACAGCAAGAGATTATTTGGGTTGGATGATCAGGGTAACTTAAAATCTGAAGTGTATCTTCTGCTCTGATACTTCCCTGCCTGGGCTCTTTTTCCCTGATACTGGTCCATGAAATTTCTGGACTAAGAGAAAACTTAAAGAACATATAGTCTAGTGGTTAAGCCTAGCAGGAATCAAAATCCCCTGGGGAAAACTTGCAGGACCCATATGTGGGTTCATTTAACTTCTCAAAAGTGTGGTTGGGGAACAAGCTTATTTAACAAAGTCTCCAGGTGGTTCTGACAGTCCACCCCTCTTGGCTCCTCGGAGTGTAACCTGGTTCCTGTGGTCTACTGCAGCCCTCTTCCCTTTGCAGCTCAGCTTCTCTAAGTGGTCACCAAGTGAGACACTCACTACCTCCTGTGGCTACTCATTCCATTTTGCTTGTTTTAACTACTCCATACTTTATTCAGATTTCCTTCATTTTTACCTAATGTCCTTTTTCTGTTCCCGGATCCCATCCAGGTGGTATGCATTCCTTACAGTGAAGTATTAACATACCAAATAATTCATTTTGGCAAATCAGTAAATTTCTGTATGTACTATAGGAAGTCCACATTGTTTAAAAATTTTATTTGTTAAAAAAAAAAAAAATTCCTTTTGGTACTAAGGTTTATTCTCAAGGTGTTCACTCTATGAGTTTTTATTTAGAGGTGTGTGATCTATCTAAAACATTAGAATCACTTATAAAACACTCCTAAGAGTCTCAATCTTTTT